GGTTGAATGGCCCAGGCCTGGGCTGCCACATCTCTCTCTTCTAGCTTTCTTCTTAATATTTTAATAGAAGAGAAGGACTTGCCAGAAATGTCTTTCCTACAAAGAGGACTTGTGAGAAGCATCATGTGCTTTCAAATAAGGCACAAAATGTACTCGCAGATGATTTTCTGTTCTCATTAAGTCTCTCAGAGGTGAGTTCAAGGGAAAAAATAAAGATGGGAAGAGCTTGGATGTTAAGTCTTTTTATTTACACCAAAAAAATAGGATAATTTAAGAATACTGAAAAAGGCGGAAACTTGGTGGCTGGAGAGGTGGAGGACAATTATCATAAAGCTGTGCAGCTGCACTACCACATGCATTATTTTCACTTTACTATCAGATATTTAATGTATGTGGGTAGCTAGTGTTCTCTTTTTGTTTCTTCTGAATATTTCATGTGTGTAATGCAGTAGAAGATGTAGTTCCCAGTTGTTACAACAGAGCAGAGATCGGTCGAGCAAAAGAACACCCATCAGTGTTTGCACACACTACAAATTTAATGACCGATACAGCTGAATAATAGAAAGTTTATTCCTGTAATAAAGGAAAAAAAGAAAAGCCACCAAAATCCTACTTTGAATCTGGAATTACAGTTAAGGAAAAAAAATAATCTTATAATAGCAATCCAATTCAAGTAATCAGTTGTCTGGACTTTTAGACCAAATTTGCATAAAATGTGCGAGGTGAATCATCCTCTCTCGTCCCTGGATACGCGCATGAGATGATTTCTGTGTTCTGCTTCTCTATGGGAGTTACAGGGGTGCACGGAAGAGCACGGCTCCAGCTCCCCGCACGCGGGACGGTGTCTGTGCCAGCGAGCTCCTGGCTGCGTTTGCGTCCCGGAGGCCCGGAGCCGAAGCTCCGAAGCTCAGCAAGCCCCGGGCAGGGTGCTCTGATGGGGGGCTGCGCGAGTCGGGGGTCTGCAGGGGAGGTAGCTGCGCTGCTCCCTGCTTGAGGTGAGCATGTGCTTTGGGTCTGAGCTCTGTCGTGGCGGGGCAGGCAGGAGCAGGGTCAGTGCACAGCTGTGTGTTGTCAGTGCGCTGGTGAGCTTTAATGAAGGAAGGAGTGAATCGTGCGTTATCCTGCGGTGTGGTCCTTGCGAGAAAGAGAAGTACAGACATCTACAAACTGCATCGAAGAGGGGAGGTGGGGGAAGGCACTCGGATAATTCTGCTGGTTTTCCACAGTGATGCATTATTTGCTATTGTATTTTTCCCTAGTAATGTTAAACTGAAAGATACGACGTTTGTTAAAATAGTTTGTCTTCCCTCAGCAGTTTGTTTGCTGGTTTTTCAGGAAAGGTGTAAGAAAGTGATAATTGTGGAGTTTAGGGAAGGGCAGTTTACTTTCTCCCAGTTTATTGTCTGTATTTTGGCAGACATAACATATGTTCATTTCACTCTTCCTTCTTGCTTAGGGTTTTCACAGAGCAAGAAGGGAAGGGCTAAACATGGGAGGGGAGAAAAAGAAAATGGGGTAAAACATGCTTCATAATGTTTGCTGTTGGGGGACGATAAAAGGAGGGTTCAGTATAAAAGGCCCCGACTATGCACGCGGAGCAGCTTCGTTGTAGCTGATTGCTTGCACCCGTGGGTGCCTCCAGAGTGAAGAGACTTCTCGGGCTTTGCTGGGAGAAGGCGGCAGCCACGTGCCAGTCCTCGGGGCCGGCTGAGCACCGCGCCAGGACCGTGCTCCGCTTCCCCCCCCGACTGCGGAGTGTGCGCCGGCATTTGGAGAGGAGTCCAGGCTGCACGCGTCCCTGAGACTGTCTGAACCTTGGCAGGGACAAGAGCAATCCCTGGCCACCTCTGGGAACCCAGGAGAACATTTAAGAGGGTGGATGGTCATTTTGGCACATTTCCTTGCTCATTACCAGGCTCAGGTCTCCCTAATCTTGACAAGGGCACCTCAAAACGCAGGCTGCAGGTGAGGCGCACTCAGTGGCGATGTTTTTTCTCTGCTAGCCAGCATCAGGGAGGTAAGGTGCAGCTGGGTCGATCCTTCGGCTCTGCGTGCGGTGGAAGGTCTGCACCTCGCCTTGTCTTCCTCCTCTCGGCAGGCCTCTCCGTGGAGGGCGATCGGTGTCTCCATCGGGCAGGAGTCGGGCTTGCTGCAGGAGAGGAGCGGGAAGGCGAATGCCGCCTTACAGCTGGCCGCTTGCTGCAGGTCCCTTGCCGGGAGCTGGCAGTTTGCTCTGCGGGATGCTTGCGTGCAACGTGTACGTTGGAAGGTGCACACCGGAAGCCATTTGCGTCGGGGAGGCAGTTACGGGTTGAAGACGTCCATTTTTCCATATTCATTGTGAATATGCACAGAAGAACACTTCCTGCTTTTACATAGGCTGCTTTTTGATTCCAGTAAGTGTCTCGACGTTTGTTGGAGCGCGAGAACAAGCGCTGGTTAAAGTCGCAGGTAGCTGAAGCTGTTTAACGCGTGGGTTGTGCTGTGGCTCTGCGCACTCTTTGTCTTCTCGCCCAGTTCTGCCCGTTGCAGCGCAGCCAGTACAGGGCTCGTGTCACGCGCTGCGTCTTGGCCCTGGAGATGCCGACTTCCTCCCTTCTATTTCGGGAGGTCATTAGTGCTGATGGGATTAGAGGTTTATATCTTTAGGTCCGAGTCATTATTCCTAATTCAATCAATGCATTTGAAGATGTTTCCTCTAATAAAATTGTAATGACTTGACGTGATTTGTCATGCTTCTCAAAAACATGGGTTTAATGTTTTTGTGTTTAGAGGCCCTGAGCTGCTGGAGAGGAGCATACATCAGTGCATCATTGCTGGGCCAGTTTCCTGCCTGTCCGGCTCCCTCTCCAGTCAATCAGAGTAACCCGGTCAGTGTAATCACGGTGATGTACAGCCAGCGTGACGCTGGAGCCAGGCCTTCGCCAACCGCCTGAAGCCCTGGGGCAGGGCCCTTGCCCGAGCAGGATGTCTGCTCTGCCGCCGCTGCCATCGCTCAGCTGAGCGCTTCGCCTCCGCGCGGAACGGACGATTCGCGGGCGTAGGATAAAGGAGAAAATAACCATCTGTAATGCAGAGGTTTGACTGGAGAAATGGCTTTTACGTTGCCAGGGGAATGAGATAAATAGCCCCCCACAGTGGGAACTGAATTGCGAAGGCGAGGCGAGAGCAGCAGTGTTATGGCAGAGCTGGGTGTTTGTTCAGAGGCTTTAGAATAAAATTAATCCAAATGCTTGGTTTTCAGGAAGGCTCCTGCAAGGTGTTAGGACTGCTGCTGAATTCCAACGGCCTCTGTTTTTAAACAGTCTGCTGGGT